GATTCTGAATGAGGTAATAACGACAGATAGTAGTTTTAACGGTATAAGAATTTATTTTTAAAGTATTTGTAGTTATAGACTCTCTGTCCTAGTGGATTATGATGATGACTGTCACCCAGGAAAATGGAGTTCAAAACTAGTGGTAGATAGTTCTTTTGTTTTTCTTTCTTTCTTTTTAATTTAATGAAAAGTCATCATACCTAATGTTGTGGTTATACATATCAAAACTAAAACAAACTGGAAAAAAAATGTTTAAAGATCAACACAATTTTAAATTTAGATGTATTCAACAAAAAAGAAATGTAGATATACTGTGTATGTGTACAGTGAATTTTAAGCTACAATAACTGCTTGATATAAAATCACATTTCATGGTACAACTTTATTCAAAAGATGTGCGCTTTCAAAGTTTGCGGAACAAACTTTTAACTGCACCAGACAAGGGACAATCAGTAAACAAGAACATAACCACTTGTTCATGGAAAAACTCACTAATTATAAGTCAGGAACATACTAGTACCTTTATCTGTTTAAAGAAATCTGTATAAACCTTAGTTATTGTACAGTTAATAGGCATATTTCAATTTAAGCTGTGCTTTAAATTATGATTTGTTAACTGACAATATTTTAAGCAAGTCATTTTAAGTCTATCAAAAGGCTAATAAAACGGCTAATTGTATGTTGTTTTCTTTATTTCTTTTTGATATGTATGTAAGTTTATTTATTCTAATACTTAATAAATGGTATTTATTTTTGTTATAGCTATAGAGACTAATAGGACAAAGTAAATGTTATAAAAGGCTAATACGAAAAAGGTAATTTTTTAAAACAAAAAACGAGTATGACCGACAGTAGCTATTTATATTTGTCCTTATTAGTTTCTAACCACCCTGGTCGTTCATAGGCCATACTCACCAAGTGTTTAGATGGTTAAATGAATGCTATTTATTACTAGTCATGACCTTGTGCTGTTTGGAAAATCATGATTTTTATTCCCCCGGGCATATAGTAATTGAACAGTCCGTCTGTCCGTCCGTCTGTCCGAGCAAACATTTTGGGTTTAGGGGCTATATAACAGTAAAGAGAACAAAAGAGAACAATAGGTTCATTGAATTTCCGTGATCAAAGGGTTTAGTGGCTAGTAGCCCTTAGGAAAACAAAGAAAATAACAAAGAAAAAAGCCCCTAAAACCAAAATGTTGGAACGTCCGTCCGTCTGTCCGTACGAGGTTAACCTATAACGGCAAGTTGGATTTTTCTTAAGTTCTACCTGTACCAATAGCTTCATAATTTATACACTTACTAATCCATACAAAGTATATGATATGGGCAAGTTAAATAACTATGGCTTCCATGAACCAAGTTATGGCCCTTTTCAGCCCTTAGAAAATGAATAATGGGTAACCTAAACCGGCAAATTGGAAATATCTTATGTTCTATCTGAACTAATGGCTTAATAATTTTCACACTTACTTATCAATACAATGTACATGATATTGCAGGTTATATAAATGTGCCATCCATTTTCCCAGTAATTTCCCTTTTTATCACTTTGAAAATAGGGCTTTGTATGGTTAACCTATTCCGCCAAGTTGGATTTATCAAAAACATTAACCTAATTACTTAATTTATTTAATGATATCTTTCATATTTGGTAGGTGGATACCTTTAACGGTCCTCTAATTTTTGTGGCGTTAGGCGTCTCTAGGTCAAGGTCGGTCACTTGTGTAAAAAAAATAAATCTAAACATTTCTGCTCATACAGCCTTTATTTTTAAGTTAATGTCTTTCATGTTTATAATAGTCATACCAAGGGAGGTCCTCTTCCTTTTCCTTAAGTAAGGGATCATTTGGGTTAAGGTCATCAATGTAAAAAATAGATTGTTTACTTTTTTACAGGCGTATTAACCCTATTCAATCGACAGATGTCTTGTATATTTTGTAGGAACATAAAATTGAGGTATTCTCATTTGGATGGAGGTAGGGGTCAGTTGGGTCAAGGTCACCAGTGCTAAAAATAGATTTTTACACTTTTGCTTATACAGCCTTTATATATTGACAGATTTAGTTCATATTTGGTAGGAAAATAACTTACATGATATTCTTCCTTTGGATGGAGTTAGGGGTCAGTTGGGTCAAGGTCACCAGTTCTAAAAAGAGATTGTTTACACTTTTGCCCATACAGCCTTTATTTATTGACAGATTTATTTCATATTTGTTAGGAAAATAACTTGCATGATATTTTTCCTTTTGATAGAGGAAGGGGTCAGTTTGTCAAGGTTAAGGGTGCCAAATACAGAGTTCTACACTTGATTGGTTTTCTTCCATACAACAGTGAGCGCGGGGGCATTTGTGTTTATACAAACACAGATTTTTTTTTACCATAACTTGCAATACAGAGGCTACGACTTTGAAAATGAGATGGTACGATAACACGCTGGTGTAAATGCCATGTTACGATGACGTAAAAACGATGACATGATCATACCATGGCGTCTTCTCTATTGTGTTTTCATGTTTCACCAGTGTGTCATCGCCTACAATGGTCATGCGCAGTGATACAGTTTAATTAACATTAAAAAGTGGTTAAAGCTAGCTCCTCGGGACCATGACTGTATGCTAAATCCAATGTTTCTAACATGTACAAGGACTTAGTATCTTGCGAGAAGACTTTGTTTCTTTTGACCCACTGTCATAATTTTAACATGTAGTAATTTTAACTTATATGAAACTCTATTTCGGAAACAGGTATCATAACAAATTTAATTTATCGTTTACATTTATGTATATACTTGTAATGTGTCTGTCAGAAAATTTGCGAATTAAGTTAGGTTATCCCGCTTTTTCAGTCAGAGTTACAATGCAGACATACTTGTTTTGTCTAATATATATACTGTCAGAAATTTTTATATAAAGGCCTCCTGATACAAAGAAAATGGGAGATTTAAGACTAAACAGTGATATAAAATTGTTTGTCTTTCAGAACTAAAACATGTGGGAGATTTAAGACTGCACAGTGATATAAAATTGTTTGTCTTTCAGAAGAAAACTTCTATATATGAGGTTTGATATCATTCATAATTCTGTTATATATTGTTCTGATGATATTTATTTTATAAATTGTAAAACCGTATAAAAGTGCAGTATTATGAATATCATTTAGTTGATAATTCATTGGAGTTGACATAAAAATTGTTTATTTATCTATCTTATACTTCATGGACTATTCTGTTTCTGGTTAACATAGTATCTGGGATACTTGAACTGTTTACTCTAAAGAAATGTTGCAACTTCTTTCTTTCCTCAACATATTTTTCTCACTTTTTCTCAAATCATATAGAACTGATTTTACGTGTCCTAGCTAAAGCAAGAGTGAAAACTTCTGAAAATCAAATGCATAATTTGTAAAGGTTCAATACATTAAAAAGGTGGCCATGTGAATTATTAAGTATTTACATAAAACTTGTATTCTGTGAAAAAAGAGCTAGCGGGGACAGCGTTTGACTTTAATACTTTTTCATGAAGCAGAAAAATAAATTGTTTAAACAAATCTAATTTAAATTTCAAGGTTTGATAGCTCTGTCTAGTAATACTTGTTGTTTTGTTCAAGTATGAATGATTGCCAAAAATAAAATGACCAAGTTAAGAAAATATAAGAAAAGTTAATATGACGGTCACGGTCATGTATTAAATTATTCAACATGTCCGTTTGGGCACAATTGTTGTTTTGTCCACGTATGACACAAATCTGTAGTTAAATAACAAAACAATGACAACTTAACCATAATTCAATTGTATGACATTGGCGGTCAAGGTCATTTAAAACTCAAGGTCAATGCAGTTTAGCAATTAAAAATGACTTGTCCAAGAATTAAGATAATCCATTGATTAATAACCAAGGTACAGGCAATTATAGCAATATATTTTAGTAGTGAAAATTCAATAATTTGACCTTCAAGGTCAAGGTCATAAATTAGTCAATGTCAATATCCATGACGGTCATGACACAAAAGATATTATGTCTAAATATGAAGTAAATCCATTTATAAATGACAAAGTTATAGCCAGATACAGAAAAAAAAGAAATTTTAAATAATTTGACATTCAAGATCAAGGTCATTTATGATTGAATGTCAATCTCTTGTCTAGTTAGCTTACAATTCTATCCTAAAAATTGTTCTGTTCAATTTAGAAGACAATTCATTTAACTTCACAAAGGAAAAGCCCCCTTTAGCAAACATCAGCAAAAAAAGCACAATTTAGACGTTTGACCTTGAAGGTCAAGGTCATTTATAAATGAAGGTCAAGTTTAGTCTTAACTACTTAAAGGTCTTGTCCCAAAGATTGTTGTCGCAATAAACAAAAGTTTTAAAAAGTTATGATAAAGGTTAATTGCCGCCATGACTGTTATAATACCTCTATTATTCGAAAATATATCAAGCTTTTAAAACTGGTTCATGTTTCCATAGCAACATTGTGACCATCAAAACATTCACTTCCATATTGTGCAAAAAATATGTTAAATCTACCATTGTACTAACAGCTTACAGTTTATTCATTTGATAAACTTAACAATAGTCCAGATTGCAATAATGTAAACAATCCGGTTAATCTCGCTGTTTTGCAGTGTCGAAAGATATGAAAATTGTTTGAGTTACCATGGAAATTTTCGTTAATGAATTCATTTAGTGTGTTAATACCAACATCAACCTTACAAAAGCTGGAAGGAAAATAAGTTGGCGTATTCTCTATTTACAGGCTCAATCAAACCGATATTTTTTTTTTTGACCATAATGTTTCTTAATCATATAGTTTGCCGATTTGTCTTAGTGTCAGAAGATAAAGTCGCAAATCAAAGAAACATCATATAATAAAATGTAACATATTCAAGTAGAACCCATCCGGGAAACAAAAAAAAATGTGTTTATAAATGTGTTTCCATAAAAATCATTCAACGTACATATTGATTGTTTCAATATACGAAAAAAAAAGGTTACGATACCTTGCTTCATAGCCTTGTTTGAGGTTTTGAATCTCGGTGTTCAATACCGTTTTTTCTTTGTCTACCTGAAATACAAATTTGCATATTCTTTTCGTTATTCTTGTCTTAGAATAACAAACGTATCAATGCATATACAAAGTATTGAACTTATTGTACACGGCCTTATAATGTGTATACAATGAAATATAAAGATATCAAAAAGTATATCACAGTAAAACGCTTACAAACCTGTACATGGATGCAAGGGCAATAAAAATGAAAATGTTATTTCGATTCTTTACCTATCAAATAACAAAATGTGTGTTCGGTCATATATAGATGTACATTATTCAGGGCGCAGGAAAAATTGATATCACAATACTTTTAGAGTAACACTCCGGACAAATATATAGGACTGAGAGACAGAATTAAAGATGGACGGACGAAGACTATCACCATATTATCCATCGTCTGTTCGGAGGTGGGTTAAATTTAACTGTTAAATGTTAAATAAGTTAAATGTTGATGCTGCACATCAAAGACGCCGCCAAAATATATGAACAGTAAATCAGCATTAAAAATCGTTCTTTATTACAGTTGAAAATCCGAATCATAAATCATTTTGTTCTCCATTTTCTTGGTATTCGCTGGTTGTTAAATAATAAAGTTGCATATTTTGCATAAATTCACAAGAAAATGCCATTCTGAAATGTTTGTCTGTTGCAACAAATATCGAAGCAAAATAAATTGGAGAACAAGTAAAATTGAAATAATTGGTATACTTAAAAAAAAAAAAAAAGATTTGCCGAGAAAATGTCCATTTAAATATGGGTTCGAATTGCATAATGTCCGAATGATTTTGAGGACGAACTGTTTTGCAGTGAATTACCCTTACTGGCCCTAGCGTAACCGGCGTACTTTCTTAACGGATGAGGGAAAACCGCCTCTCTGCGTGGTTTAGGCTTTGTAACTTGTAATTTGATGATTTAACAAGCGATATTGATCAAAGTTGTCCTATATGTAAATAAAATTAGATAATGATGAAAATAATATGATATTAAAACCTGGCACTAAAACTTCAGTTAAACGTTTATTCTAGTTCCTTTAACTTTTGTGCATGTTGCTTATCAGCATCTTATAAACAAAATGCACATACCTGTGTTTTTAACTGGGTATTTTGTTTGCAAAGGTGATTCACTTCAGCCTGCATCCTACCAATGTCATTCTTGAGATCCTGATTTTCACGGTTTAAACTGTTGATTACCTTTTCCATCTTTGTTTTCTTCGAATCGACCTCTACAAATGATATTAATTTCATTGTTTGTTTAATCTTTTAAAGTTTTTGTGATTCCTTTGTTGTTTGCAAAATGGAAAAAAAAACGGAAAAACAATACTCGAAGACATGACAAAATAGAACCGAAAATAAGAAAACTGTTATGTGTTTTATGTTGCTTGTGTTTTCTATTTTCCTTTTGTCACCTCTTAAGCACTAAGACTCGACAAAGTAAGACGTGACTTCATTTATGCATGTCGTTTTGCTTTTTCGTCTAGGATAAGAGATCATAAATCAGCCACCAAATTTCGTTAGTTATTACAAAGTGAATAAATACGGTGTAAAATGTCTTCAGTAAAATTTGTGATGAATATTGTTAAAAATCTTTTGAACTAGTTTTACAATGGCGTTTTCAAAAAAATTATGTTTGAAAATTAAAAACAGTTTTTGAAATCACCACACACTTAAATGTGTTATTTAATATATGTATTTTAACTTACCTGTCTTATTCTTGTCAGATTCACCGAATACCAGATATCCAACATCTTCAATCTCGTCTTTAATTTCTTCAATCTCTATAGATCGATCGTATCTGACAGCCGTCTCTTGTCCATTTCTGGAAAGTTTCTCCATGTCACTCTTCATATTTTTTAATAATGTTTGTGTGTCTTTCATAAAAATGAAAATTTCACAATTTTGATTATTTTTCTCTAAATTACTCATCCATGCTATCTTTTTCTGCAAATCCTTGTTCAGAGCTGTCAATTCTTTCAGACAATCTGTGAATACTTGATTATCTGTGTTTTGTTTTTCTTTTAGATCCGATTTGATCTTTTCAAAGAGGCGCTCAAAAAAAGTTAAAAGCTGTTCTTTCTGTTGCCCAAAGGTTTGAAAGGGCTTTTTGGTCCTTTGTGGGAACTTTAAAATTTTCGGGAAAATCTTGTTCTGTTTTCCCTTGAAAATTTTATTAATGGCACCCTTTTTTCTTGACCTTAAATTTTTTTGGGGTTTTTCAGTTTTTTTCACTTCGTTTTGGAAAACATGTCTGACCTTTCGCAAAATTTCCGGTCGTTTCGTAATGATTTGAATAATGTCACGGGGACTGCGATATATTCCAAATTTTTGGGTGTGTGTCCGCACTTTGAAAATACAAATTCTTTGACATTGGGCCGGCCCGTACAGTATGAAATTTGGATAAAGGGCATGCTTTTTTTTATCTTGTTTAAAATGGTTTTCGAAATTGCCTAAATCGATTGTATAACTTATAACCAGACCACACTAAATATTCGAGAGTCAGACCAAAATCTTTTGCTGTTTTTTTTTGTCGATCTTGCCGCAAGGTTCAAAGTTTCCGCATTTATCAAAAAATAAAACGAAGAGCCTCCATTTATTCGATCAAGACGGTTTTATTCTTAATAATTGTGTTTGTTTTTCAAAAAATTAATTAATATTAAATTGGCTTCTATGGCGTTATGATCATCAAGTTTTAAAAGCGTTGCTGACAGCATTTAAGGGTTGGTTAATTTATTATTGCTTAATCGCTTATGTAAATGAATCATAATGCATTTGAAGTTTATCGTTCGACCAAATAAGATAAAATTGTTGCTTATGTTAAGGTAGAATACAATTTAAGTGGATTATATTTGATATAGGTTGTTTTTAAAATTACATAAAAATCATTTTTTATTTTCAGGTTAATAAATTTTCATTTAATGATAAAATTAAAAATAAACTAAAAACTAACATATAGAATGTTCGTTTCAGCAAAAAGGGGCAATTCCTTTTCCTTTTGACAGTACAAGCTTAAAAGAATGTTCGCATAATGAGCAGTAGAATTTTTCGTTACAAGAGATTAAATATTGCTGGCGAATAAAAGGCTTTTGAAGAATTGAAGTTTTCTCTCAAGTCCGCTTCGCCGGGTGCTAGGGGCGTGATGGATGTTGACATTTTATTTTTTCCTCATTTCGTCTCAATCAACCCGGAGTCTGGCAATTCTCCATTTTTTTGTTGTGTTAATGCTTCGAGGGATACTTTGTTTCAGAAATTTGTTTTAACGCCTTTTGCATGAAATATTTTGAATAACAGACTGGGAGCGCATTGTGCCTTTAAGTTTTCTCATTGTTAATTACGTTCAATTAAAACTGAGGCTTTGAAAAAAAGGTGATAAGTAAAAATAAAAAATATTAAAAAGGCAAAATGGTTGCATACTTACCACATATCACCTTTTTCAATTAGGGTATTCAGCATTGTGTTCTATTGCTAAAAAAGGGGATAAGTGGTTTAGAATACGTTCTTGTATAATGGAAAATTTTGTTTAAATCTCTACCAAAGCTAAGCCGTTTAAAATATCATAACACGCCATTTCTAAATCAATTTTAAAGTATTTATCATTTTCATTCTTGTTCCAGAATAACATGGAAAGCAATAATTTTAATGTTTATGTTTGGTAAACTCTAGAAAATAACGTAGCTACGATAAAATTATTGGTTCTAAGCATTATTAAGTGTTAATTTCAAGGGCGCATTTTTTTTTGAAAAAAAGAAACCCAGTTTACATGGATGACTTTTGGCTTGCAGCATCTACTTTTGCGGATAAACAATTTATATAGCAGGTATTTTGTACATTATAATTCGTATCTATAGTGAAGATTTTTGATTGTTATATATTTGTCAAAAAAATTGTTTTCATGGAAAGTTTTTTTAGTTGGGAAATTAAATTATATTGATAACACTTGGGAAAAGAAACTTTGGGGTTTTCTAAACCCGGTAAAAAGTTTTCTTTGTAAACAATTCTCTTTAAAAGATAACTAAAAACAAGGGTTTGTATGAACCAGTTAAATTGGGTCCCTTCACCCTTTTTGTTTAAAAGGGAAAATTTCAATAGAAGTAAAATTGAAAAAGTTTGGGTTTATATTTTTATCTAATTTAAAATTCCAAAAACAGAAAGTAGGTTCCAAAAAAATTGTTTTTTGGAAATCTGAATTGTGAAAGGTAGGGTTTGATTTAAATATAAAAATTCTTTCCAAAGAAAAAAATTTAAATTAAAAAGTTTTTTGCAATAAAAACCTTGGGGAAACCCATTTTGAAATTCATATCCCAAAATCCTAAATTAAAAAGGGAAGGGGCCTTTCTGGAAAACTTTCACCAGAGAACATGATAAATGGCAACGTGAAATTACAAAAAGAAGGCGGCAGCATGGACAATGTTATCAAAATGAGAAGGGTTACAGTTCGGGATGAAGGCATCAAAGGAATCAGTTGTAAATGCAAATACAGATGCACAAGTAAAATAAAAAAAGAAAGAAGAGAAGAAATATTCACCATTACTGGAACTTGTCAATATGAGACTCAACGAAACTTTATATCACATCATATAAAAGTTATAAGTAAAAAACGGCGAACAACAACTAAATGATGAATCTAGAAGGAAATTAACTTATGAATATTTTCTTCCGCTCAATGATGATAGTGATGATATGATTCAAATTTGTTAAAAGTAGCTTATGAATATTTTAGATGTTGGACCAAAGGTGATCGAGTACACGATGAATAGAGACAAGATATATGACACTAAAGATAGAAGGGGTCGGCGTAAAAAGATTGAAGTTTCCAAAGCCCAGAGATGGAATACGGAAACACATAGACAAATTTCAGAGAGTTGATTCACATTACTGCCGAAGGGATTACCGAGAGGCAATATCTTGAAAAGGCTTTGTCAGTAAATAAAAATGTATAGAATTTTTGTGGATGGAAGCGTTGTGAAAAGCAACACAATTCCTGAGAAGCTCTGGCTGTATAACTCTATATTCAATAAGGAAATTCAATATTGGTTTTTCATCAACCCAAAAAAAGACTTATGCACTTTTGTGAAGTGTATAAAAGTCTTGATGATGTCAAAAAGAAAGAAAGAGAGGAGTGAATACCTTGAACATCAACAAAGAAAAGAGCAAATTCGACAACAGAAACAGAATGACAAAGAAAAAGGCTTGGGAAGATACAAATACACGTGTAATAAATTTTGATCTTCAAAAAGTTTTGATTTCACCAAAACAGAAAATAGGTGAAGTTTACTACAGCCGGAAGTTTAGCTACATTATTACTTTACTGTATTTGAATAGTCTCAAAGATGCATTGATGTTACATTTGGTATGAATCAGTTGCTAAGCGAGGAAGCAATGATATTCTTCATGTTATATAAAATTCAATGAAGTCTTGGAGCTGTTGATCATTTATTATACTACTCGACAGCTGTTTTGGACAGAACAGAAATCTTCCCTTTTTCAGTTATGTGTTTATATTGTGTACAGAATATCCCTATTAACACAAATCACTCACAATTTTTTGAAACGGACATTCGTAATGGAGGGAGATCTTCTGTACATGCCACTATCGAAAAAGCTACAAAAGGCCCATGATATGTTTGGTCCTACGGAATTGGATGTCAGCTGTGTCGAATAGCAAAAAATATGAAAAACAAGATCAACAAGGAAAGGCGGCGTTTCAATGAACGCAACCCCCATATGACCCAGCAACAAGAACCAATGGCAAGGAGCCCAGGTGGACCCCAAACATAAAAGGACAGGGCAACGACACGTTAATCATTAAATGATAAATAATTTTGTAACTGATTAGGAATTCAAAGAAAATAATAATAGGCCCACAAAGGGGAAGGGACAGGAGACCGGGGGAAGGGGGGGTGGGGGTTAATCAAAAAATAAAAACTAGAGGCAATGGGGAAGATACTTACCGTAGACGAGAAAAACAACAAGGGACACAAGCAAGAGTGTCACCAAACAGTATGAAACAACATAGACAAACATCTGAGGAACACAGTGGGGCGCCGCCTTGGAACGGTCAGCAGCATAATAATGACTGCTAGGGAGTTTAAACCGGTTAATGGTGCACCAAACCTCGCTCTTAGCCCCACCATGTTCCTATAAACGAGACTGTGTAAATAAAATGAATCCCCGCCAAGTGAAATTCTAACAGTTGTCATGGTTACAAAAGCCAGTGAGCCAAGATATAAAGTAATTGAAGTGGCTACATCTGATATAAAAGATTTTAAAGGATTTGCAGATCATACTGTGGCTAATAGAAGCAAGGCAGCAGATGGTTCAACACTTCAGTGGACAAAGGTACACGTATTTGAATACCGTAAATCTGAGCCAATTCAGAATTTACTACAAGTATGAAGTTTAATACTGAATTCAAATCATTAGAATTTGCACGGCCTAATTTAGAAGAAAATGAGAACAATTGAGGGCTTTGCATTAAAGAATGCATATGATAGGCAGATATGTATATCGGAAAAAAAAAAATATGACGATTTGTTGAGTTTTGTGCCAAAGGCAAATAATACCGCCAAGATACAATTCATTTTATGGTAGTCTACCCCACAGAAAAGACCATGAATCGATGAATGTTGAACTGTAACTCAGTAATAAAGATTTGATTTTTTTTTTCAAAATGATTTAATGTACGGAAACGGTCCATTGGCATTGTAATAATGAACACAGCATGAACTACGAAATCATGCAAACATAATGAAAATACTTTCATTTATCAGTATAAACACTTATATAAATACACTTCTAAGTTGTTTTTTAATACATCATGAATAACATTATTATGAATATGAACTATAACATGAATTGTGTTTCAAACTTGAGATTGTGGACAATTAATTGATTACAATTTGTTATCCTGTTTCTTTTTAATTGTTCTTGTTCACGAAGGTAATGAATTACTTGTTTTAATGTTAATACATGATGCTAATATAAGCACATGTCACAAATTTATGTTAAAGGTTTTGAAATGAAATAAATTTAATTTTAAAACTTGGCGTCATTGTGCATTATTTTTCCTTCAGCTATGCCAAAA